AGTCGAACGCAAAAGGGTGCAAACATCAGGTTGCCGCCATTGTCCTCACTGTCTCAATGAGACGCCGACAAAACTAGCAGTGTGTCTAGTTTGCTGGACGGAACTTGAAAGTTGTGGAATCCGTCCCTATCGGCTACAAGCTCCTGAAGACGATGAAGATGAGGCCACGAAGAAAGAGATCGATGAAGAAGTTCGTCGACAAGAAGAATCGTTGTTCAAGGATACGGTCCATCAAGCACAAGAAAACGTATCCGAATCCAACGACTATGGCTTCAATCCTGACGAGGTCGACTACAACGAAGGCGATGATGAGGAAATGGATCAGGAGGAGGAAGCCCAACAGGAAGACGACGAAATCGTTGAAGAAGACGACGATGAAATGGAAGTCGAACCTGAAGATGAACCCTCTTCCAAACTTCCAGCATGGACCAAGAACCTCGAGAGCGGCAGCAAGGGTATGCCAGAAGACGGACTTATCAATAATGATGTCTCCGAGGCCGCGGCTCACTTGTATGACAATGCCGTCATGTCAAAGATCATCACAATGTTCAGGCTCTACTACAAACAGAGAGTCACTCTGACCCCAGAGGAGTACTATGAGATGATGACGGAAACCAAGCGAGTCCGGCTGGACCTGGACGACTTCTGTCCTTATACAGGAGAAGACCAGGATGGCAACCTCAAGCGCCCGACGGAGCTGGAGTTGGATGAACTCTTTCAGGAGAAAGGGAAGAGGAATTCATGGTCAGAAGGAGAGAAGTTATACTCAGGGCGACCAAGAAACATGATGATGCCTGTCATCAAGACTTTAGAGATCTATGAGAAGATGATGGAATTTCTGGTACGCGCCGGATACACTCCTGAGTCATTAGGCTTTCTCATGCCAATGAATCGAATGCAGGCTGATGCCCAAGGGAAACAGGAGATGCGAGTAACCATCAGCAATTTCCTTCGACGACTGCTCAAAGGAACCTTTCCGGAGCACGAGTCATACACCTTCTTTCGCTCCGGGAGCCACGGCTTCCCCAACTGCATCGAACTCCCAGCCTTCTCGGTATATCTGAGCATGAGGGAGAAAGAACAGAGAGTAGAACTGCTCTTTGCCGCCCAACAATGTGGCATTCCTTTACCTCAAAACTTTGTCAGCAAGATGGCTTATGCTATTCAGCTGGCCGAGGCCGAGGCGCAGAGGGGAAAGACCGAGATGAAAACGAAGATGGCTCCAACCCTTGGCGACGAAGTGGTGAGTGAAGTATTCAAAGCGGTTGGACATACTGCAGCTTCCAAGTTTGCTAAACCACCCGCACAACCTTCACAGACACCTGAAGGCACTGGTTCAGCATCATCCTCATCGGCTAGCGCACCAAAGGGCAAGGCTATGCCGAAATCCCATGAACCATCAAAGGCACCGCCTGCAAAGCCTTCATCGCCGAAAGCTGCTCCGAAACGTGCGGCAGGATGGGAGAGAACTCCAACAGCACCTCAATGGAAGAAAGTCCGCCGTGAGCAGTAAACCAATTGCTTCGATCCGTCAAAATGATCACTGGGCTACAAGATGTTTACCGTCTTTATGAACAGATGATCAGGAAAAGACCAACTGAGTGGACACTGAGCGAGGCATTAGACTAATTCGCTTAGGTTCAAGACTTTTGATATTCCCAATCTGCACGAGATTCTGCATTGTGCACGTGAATTCGTTAGTTAGCATTGTAAACCTTTGGTAGCGAAGCGATCCATTTCTCCCGACGGGTGAGTGGCGGGCTTAGCCAACGTAGAAAAGTAGATGTTAGCTAGCAATAATTCGCATTGTACAACTTGATGAGGCGCCGATGCATCGACAGCCAAAGAGTAGGTGAACCCTGAACCATTATACCCGACGGGTATGTGGGGAAGGGGGATCCGAATGGCACGTTTTATGTAAATAGGCGTAATTCAAGTAGCAGAACAAATCTAATTCAAAGTTCCCTCTCTCGTGTCCGTGGCTCGAAGAATGCCACGGGCATGGGGGGTGTCAAAGGGAACTAAACGCTAGGACACTTATCATGCACATATGTGATTGTGCATTGAAACGCCGTACTGGCTCAAGTCCCTGCGCGAGGAAAAGTCCGAGCTCCGCTTGCAATGCCGTAATGCTGTCCAAAGCTACCAGCCATAACGGGTATCACAGCTCAATAACTACATCCAGAACAAGGGTCAATTTGTTCACATATACATACATATACATACATATACACACATACACACATACACACATACACACATATACATACACACACACATACACACACATACACATACATACACATACATACACATACATACATATACATACATATACATACATACACATCCATACATACATACATCCATACATCCATACATGTATACATATATATATATGATATATGTATATCTATATATTAATACATACATGCTGGGGATATCAGGGCTGTAACTGTGCTACGAAAGTATTCTTTACTGGGTCAAAAACGACACACTACCGTCTGGTAGTCAAAGATGGCAATTGAAAATCCTCTAGAAACGGTGCTTTGATGGGAAACTTATCTATAAACCGAGGTTTTTCCATTGTCATGTTTACCGGAAAGTAAAGTAATTTGCCCAGACTGGTTGCCAGGAGACCTTCAATTGGTTGCTCCATTTCATGCGTGAAGGCTCTTGCCTGGTAAATCCCTTGCTGCATCACTTCGCCCAAGTCATGAAGCAGAAGTGTCTCAACAAAAGCAGATGTCCAGTTTGTTTGGAGAAAGCCTCCCCATGATATATATGGGGGTCCCCAAAAAGATAGTAGTAGAGTTCTTCCGGGAATGGTTTTTCTGCACTTAGATCGGGGGTTTCTACATTTGGTGATCCCCGAAACGATGGAAAAAGAAGGTCACCACTCAAATGGTAAGGCATTTTTGGGACCCCGTTTTTGTCATATTTGATCATCCAAGCAACTGAATGTCCCTTGCCACGGCACAACACCAAACGTGTATCTCTATTGTAGTTGGTTTTATCCCGTTCAGAATTTCCAGTTAAGGTTTTCTTTACATTGGAGGTTTTTTGCTGCATGAATCATGAATCTGGTTGCCACCTTGATGAAAAGATGGCTCCTGACCCATGGAGGATTTATTCCACTCGACCCGGCAGTATATGAGGTTTGAACGGTATACCTGGATTGTCCCCTGGGTAAAAATATTATAGGTTACCAAGCAGCCGTGGAAGATCCAAGTGGGTGCCATGATCAAAAGATGGATTATGTAGCGATATATATATATATTTACATATCTATATATCTATATATCTATATATCTATATATCTATATATATATATCTATACATATCTATATCTATATATATATATATCGATATATTGGGTGATGGTCATCAATCCATTTCGTAGGCATATATATATATATATATCGATGATGTTTTTTTATTCCCATGAAATGGAATGGATGACCAGGATGACCAGGGGCCCCATATGATCATACTAACTTGGTTAAACATCCACATGATATTCCCATTATGGGACCCATATTTATAGGTAAAATCCACCATTCTGGGTTAAGTTGGTTGTGTTTTGACCCTACTTGGAAGTGCAGTTCCAGTTATGAGTGGATAGATTCCACCATAGTTATCCCAACTTCTGGGGGTTTAGTTCACCATGGTTAGAGCCATTTGTAGTCTCAACTGCCCCCGAAGTACATAGGTTGTATCCCACTATATCCCATCATATCCCCATTGAATCCCCATCGAATCCCATGAAGTCATCATGATATTCCCAATTTCCAACAATAATAACTGGGCAAGATAGCAAGTGGATAGAATAAGTGGTGATATGATATATAATATATTCTAGTATTATATATTCATATATTGCACATAACATATGTTTTTTTTTTTCCCCAGGCATGGTCGCTTCTTGGGCGTCCAATCTGCTCTAAGCGATCTGGGGCTGGAAGACTTCAGCGAGGAACGACACAGCCGTTTAGCCGTGTCGGGCGCTTCTTAATTCGTATGGTATGTACTGATACATTGATACACATGATATATTATTTATTGGTCAATATGTATACATATGTATATTGTATATTGTATCATATGTATAAAATTGTATATATAATTGTATACACATGTACGGCAAGACGGCATATATGTATATATATATATACACATACACCAGATATAGATAAACATATGGATTTGAGATCACTCCTTTTCCCAGCAGAGTCTAGGATGATTCACTCACTGTGCTTAAAAAATCCCAGCATCCTTGGCGTCAGCCATTCCCTGGATGGTGCAGGTGGTACAGCTCTGCTACAAGGATCTTCAGACGTTAGCGCTGGGCACATCTGCAGAGGTCTGGATGGTTTCACCAAGGTGGTTCCCCCCAGTGAAATGTTTGTTGGTTTAGATTTTAGATTCAGGTGGGGCTAAAGGGGGGCCCATGGGAAAAAAATGATCTAGTTCGAGGCGTCTACCATCAGCTTTCACCTAGATCAATAAACCAACGGCCAGCTATAACGGTGGCCCCACTTTGTGGGCCGTTGGATGTCCCAGTGGTCCCATCAGGTGGATGCTCAAGTTTGGCGCCTGGCAGTGGAAGAGTTCAAGAAACCTGAAAGCAAGATGCTGGGATGTGGTCTGAGCTACGTTTTTGAATTGTTTTAAAGTTATTTCATGAATCGATCTTGAATGTGACTAGGGCTATGGTTTTGTGAGCTAGTGTTGGATTTGTTGGGTGTTTTCACAGGCTTCATATCCCTTTGACCCCTACCATTGGATGCTTTGGCAAATGTACCAGCCATGCCCAGCTGGGTTTGTCTGAAAATGGCCATATATTGGGGGCTCATCCCCTATTTTTTGGACGAATCTAACGAATCCAAGATGGATGGTGAAATTCCGTTGAATCCTGGAAAACCAATTTCACCTATTTGGGGTGGTTCAAGGTGAAACTCAGCCATTTTTTGGGAAGAAACCCTGCCTTTGATGCCCAGGATGGAGGTGGAAATCTGCCTTCTGTTGGACTACTTCGGCGGTTCTTCCGGCCGGCTTCAACCGCGCCGAATCATGGCCGCCGAGGCGGTCGTCCGAGGCGGGGAAAACCCACGGCAAGGGCAGCTCATGAATGCCTTCAAAACGCATATGGTGGCGGAGATTTTCTGGGACTTTGACCCTGAGGACTGCGACTTCAGAGTTTTGATGAGTTTTGGGTACTGGATGTACTGGATGATTTGAAAATTAGCAAGAATTAGTTGGACATAGAGGTATAAGCCTTTTGAATTGAGATAGAATTCAAGACTTATACCACTTCATAGCTGTTCTTACGCTTTCAGGGATCATCCCAGTTGAATTTCGAGTGGTCGTTTTTGCTGTGGAAAAAGGGACATAGAAATAGACTCTAAATTAAAATTCACACATCCATCACGTCGCATGGTCTCAAATTCTGGCCTTCAACCACTGAAGACCTACCCACTTCGGAGCAATTTTTGGTCGGTAGGTTGCGTGGTGCGGGTTGAAGCGTCGAGGCTAGGTTCACCATGACACTGGCTGAGTAATGGATTCCCAGTCGGCTTCTCTCACTTATTGGCTTCTGCACTTGGAAGTGCAGTTCCATTGAACTAGGTAACTAGGTGGATAGATTTGGCCATAGTAGGGGCCACATATCCCAAGAGATATTAGGTGGTTTATATTATATAGAACCATCGTAGTTAGTTATCGCCATAGAGATGTAAGCTCAGCTCTTGTCTGCACCTGCCAGTAGGTTGCATCCCACTTTTTTTCCCAGTCAATTCCCATGAAAAATCCCATCCAAAAATCAAAATCATCTCATTTTTGGATATTTTTGGATGGTTTCTGGGGCAACATCAAGCAGCATCCATGGCTTTTGGATGGCTTTTGGATGGTTTTTTTGTCTAAAAAGGACTCATCTCTGAAGCCCGGCGCGCTTCAACGACTGCTGGAGTTGATGGCTCTGGATGCAGCGACTTCCTCCGACTTCTTGGAGATTTCTCACCTCGCCAGAAGCTCGATGAAGAGATTGCTGGGACCCCAGGGACCCCAGGGACCAGCCGAGTTGAGGTAGTTTTCTTTGGGGAAACGGCTACTTTCTTCCAAAGAAAAGCAACAAATTGGATCAACTTACCTAGTTTTGGATAGGAATCCCATTTTCCAGATTACCAATGCTTGGGACCCCGATTCATGAAGAGATCCAATACTAAACGCTGTCGTTTGTGTCGTTTGTGGGGTGTTTAAGATGCACCGGGGAAAGGATCGGATGCATTCGAATGTTTCAACATCCTAAACATGACAAACAATCTGAGTGAATTTGGAAGAGGACATTTTCAGACACCCTGAATTTTAATGTTGTTTAATTATCCGAGGGTAGCTGTCATTTTTCGATGAACTACTGGAGTTGGAACATGTCACGACTTCCAGTATTGGACAGGGCTTTATCAAATGCTTGCGATCATCAATCTACTGTAGATAGGAGTGCTCCACCAGCGAAGCAGCAGTCAATAGGGAACTTGGATCCCTAGCCATGTTTGATGCTCTGAACCAGATGAGCTATGACTAGAACCACTATCCGAGAACTGTAAACCCTGCAACCAAAGGGTAATTTTGAGGATGCCAAAAGCTGAAGTGGGAAGTGGGGGACTCGGGGACTGGGAATGAACACCCCTCCGTTTCCCCCGTTTGCTACTTCAATAAAGGCGACCCATTGTCAGCAGTTCATATCCCAATGTTTGCTGGTTAAATCATGTTAAATCCCTAGATTTCACCCACCATCCAAGGGTACGAAATTCCACCATTTCTGGACAAACCACTGTAGGGGTTGTATCCCCACACATATTCTTATCCTGCTAGTCGTTTAATGAAAAAAGAGGGATTATCATCCTCCACAATCAGTATGAAACTGATGATTCATCACCAGCTAGTGAAGTTGATTAAATCCACACTATTCACACGCAGATTTTTTTTTGGCGGTTATATCTTCACTGGATTGGTTAAGGGGATAAGGGGACAGTCTACAGAAACCATGTTTTCTACCATTCATCGGAACATGAACGGGTGAAGTACCAACAACCACCCGTTGTGCGGGCTTACTAACCAGCTATTGTGCAGGTCACCTTTGAGAGGTTGTTGAATCCCATTTACAAACAGGATCAATTTCGGAGAGCATAATCAAAACAAGCACCAGCCATAGAGTCCATGTGGTTTTACCCAATAGCATATGGGTTTTTATATGGGTAAATTATAACGACCTCACCTTGCGACCTCACTGGAATGATGTGACTTGGATTTAGGGTAACTATCCGAAAATAGGCAAACATTTCAAATTCGTGAAATATGAAATTTGCCCAGATATTCCTAAATCAACCAATCAACCAATCATGTTGTTTGTGAGAAAATCCAAGAATATCCTCATGATTAACCATCTTATGTCCATAAATTGGTTGGTTTTAATGTCCCAAATGAACACAGTTCCACTAATAAGTGGGTCACATAATCATGTAGGGGCCCCATACCCCAAGTTATGGAGGTTATACCATAGTTATACCCATTCATCACCCCAACTGCTGAAATGACATGCAATTTTTGCACATTCGTGAACATGAAATGGCAGCAAGGGATGATCCTTTTTGAGAAAGTGAACATGAAATGATACCCCACATAGATATATCATAGTACATAGTAGATGAGTAAAAAACACTAACATCAATAATCAATATTCCAGAATATGTTTGGCCCAAATAAACAAGAAATAAACATCAACCCGGTAACCCCAAGCAGTGACCTTCCAAGGAGTCATCTTGTCCAAGCGAACAGTGGACGTTGCGCTTGATGCTGAACGCCTGGAGGAATTTCAGCGTGCTGGCTTGGACTTTGAAGATGTGAAGGACGGGGAGAGGGAACGTGGTACAAGGTGGTGCCTCTTCTGGTTATGTTTGTACCAGTTACTATGGTTGTGTAAGTATTTCTATGTATAGTTTCTACATATAGCTTATTAACCATAGTAATATGTATATATATATATATACATATATAGACATATGGCCCCATCCCGAACAAGGACACTGTCGACTGGAAGGTTTTTTTTTGTAGATGCGTTGCAAAACAAGTGTCGGGACTCTCCAAGAACCAATTTTGTCGGGAATACATCAGTCCCTCCCGTATATATATATATATATCTACCATAAACCGTAGTGAAAGTGGAGTTATAAACCAACTTAGCTAACGAACTAGGGCACCACCAGGGCACCACCCTGTATGTGTCTACATCTTGCACTATTTCTGGGGAGAAAGCAGGATTTGCTGTCGTTGCATTGATTGAAATGGCTATATAATTTTCATCATCGATAAGAAAACCAAGGAAAAACATAATATACCATTCCCCAAACTAATATTTACCCTGAAAAGTCGTCAATTTATCTATTTGCGAGAGTCTATATTATTCGAGGGAATGGTAACATCACATGTCATAGATTTTCACGAATAGATATCATTAACCATTGGTTTTCCTTTATTCGGATATTATGAACATGGCAAAATCATTGGACAGAATCTTTCACAGATTTTAGAGTGAATAAAACATAGGAAAATTCATGTTTGTGCCCGATGTTTCCACATGCCTAGGTTGCTTCGATGTTACATGAAAAGGATTGGTCATATCCCCATTTTGTGACCGGGTTTCTGGGGTGGATGTATCCGTTGGGGCAAAATCATAGCTGAGCATGTTGGGTTTCTGCAGATTCCGTGGCGGATGGCCAGCACCCAAATTTTTGATGAATTCGTTTTGACCATGGCATAAAAAAGAGGATAATACTATGAGCAACCGAAAATGATGTTAGTTTTGTAGGATACCCAAGAGTTTTTGTGTTTATAAACCAAGAAAACATAAGTGGAAGGACCCTTTTGCTGTGAAATCAATGGTGTGACCAAAATGGTGTGGTCTTCGGGTTGAAACTGATGAAAACATCAAAATGGTGATATCCTCGATGGTAGCCGCCACAGAATCATTACTATATGAATCTTGAATTCTCTCTTGAATTTACTGAAATATGTATAACATATATATATATATACACATACAAATAAACGCACATAGATGTGGAAAACCCATGGTTTCCCTAGAAAAATTATATACACATGGTAGGTTTTCCACATCCAGTTAGTTTTCCGCAGGGTAACTTCTATGTGTTTCTCTGTAGCAGGGTATACAAGGTCAGCCATGACTGGGAGATCCAGCTGTTTGTAATAGCTCATCTACAAACAAAATATCTATGTACCACATATATTTAAGTCTACCAGCTACACATCTAAAAGACTGGTTCGATATCAATATCATATACATTACATATTCCCAATTGGTACCAACTCTAAACTTATAGATCCAGTCGCAAATTATGTTGTGCGATTTTTGTCGCGACGTCAATGAAAAACGGTTGAGACTGGGGCATCCCAAAACAGCCACAGAAAATTCAGGTCAGTTACCCGGCCTGGTAAACTAACAGTTTGCTATAGAAAATAGCCCATCTATAGTTGATTTACCTGTGAAAGATGGTGATTTTCCATAGCAATATGTAAACGTTTACCAGAGGGTAATTTATGATGAAATTTATCCAGATAGATGTCCCTTTCACAGTGGTTGGTTGATGAATAGGGTCCACATTTTTTTTACGACCAATGACGACACTCCACTTCTTCCACTGGTTGCTTGATTGGCTTCCCATCGGTATAGTGATCCCCACGAAACCAGCTCGTATTTCACTCCATTTTAATCACCAAGGGCATCACCAAGGGTCCCCTTACAGTTTCTTCATAAATCTTCGACATATGGGTATGGATCAATACCTATTAATACCATTTTTAGGGGAATGAACATCCATTTACCAGCTATGACTTGGGGTTCACTAGGTACCAGGGTTTTGACCCATCCCCATGTTTTTCCCATGAAAATCTCAGGAGCTCCAAATCTTCCAGACCTTAGCGGATTGCGTTTGCATCTTTGACTTTTTGAAGTCCCAAGGCTTCCACGGCAGCGAGTGTATGGAGCTCTTCCGCCAGCGCCTGCGGGTGGTGCGTGAGTTGTTGGAGGAAGATCGTTCGGATCCTTGGCTTTTTGAAGATCTGGCCAAACATGGCTTTATCTGATTTTTTTTTTCGCAAAAACCCGCATAAACCCATGGTTTCTTTTCAGTTTCCCAATTAAAAAAAAGAGGAACGGTTTTTGGGTTCACTCACATTACAATTTTTTATTGGTTTCCCATGGTAATTTTTGGGGTTCACCATTTTTTGGACAAACCCTCAGTGGTCTGACGAGTTTCTCAACAACCGTGGCACATGTGGCACTTCAGCCAAGAAATACTGGAAAGCACAGCACGAATTTCAGAAGTTTGAGTAAGTTTAACCAACTATTTGGGTGACTCATGTTGCGACCTCACCACGACGTCAGCATAAATGATGGTTTGATTGAGGGGATCTGCCCAAACATGTGCTCGTATCAGCAATTTTTCAGACAGTTGAATGACTAGATTTATCCAGTATGGGGTAAATGGATATTGATGTGAGCCAGCTGAGACGCAATCACATGTAGATAAGTACATACATAGTCGAATATATTAGGACAGAATCGAGGTTCATCATTGATGAAATGGACTTCAGCAATTAAGTCAGTGGGGCCAGCAGCAGTCGATCATAGTTGATGATGGGGATGCCTTGCCATAGAATCTGTGACACAAGCATTTGGTGAGTGACCCGTGCTGGACGGGGGATCTCATATGTCGGGGCCAGCGATCTCAGATGCGACAAGACTTGCTGAGTGAGCTCGAGCATTGTGCAGCAGTGCTCTCCGGATTCCTTTCAGCACGGCCAGATCCTTCGCAGGCCTCTTGGTGGCCTTGATTTATAGTTGATTTACCTATTAAGTATGGTGATTTTCCAGAGCAAACTGTTAGTTTATCAGAGGGTTCTCTATTATTGGACCAACCAATCGCCCACACAGCCAGTCAAATTGTAGCCTTGGATGGCTGCCACGGCAGAGCGAGCCATGTCGTGGCAGTATTTTCAGGGTTCTTCCATCACAACTTCCAGCGAATTTCTTCAGTTAGAGGGGCCTGTCCAGGTGAAAAACCCTTACACTACACCATGCATATGCCATTTCTGCGTTGTATTCTGTCTCTATCATCCATTTAGTTTGGTGTCTCCCAGATCAGGGCCCCTTAAGCGTCCTAACCGTCCTAACCACACAATCTCCAACATCAACATGCAGCAATCTACTTCTTAAACCAGAGTCCCAGCCTAGTTTTTCAATCTGGACTCCTCTACCTGGAAAAGGTCCTCAGGTCTGTCGGATTTTGTTTCAAAAAAATATCGGTAAAGGAATGGGTTAAAAATTCAAGATCGTTAGCCTAGTATACAACAGTTTAGTGTCACCCGTTGAGCTGTAGTTATTTGTCCACCACAAATCCTAGCGTTAGCCTTCAAACCAACAGAAACCTTGCGAAGTTGAGAACCTGTTCTTGCTTCGAACCGCTGAACAAGTTGCTTGATATCCTTCTGTATTAGATTATTTATCTCTGCTTAAAATGGTTGGTTTTACACCCGCACAGCTTTGCTGATCACATACTGACTGTGATAGGTCAAAGGCTCCATTTTGGATGGTTACATATCCTACATATCCCATATCCCCATTTTTGGATGGTCAAAAGTTGCAAATCCATCAGGTCATGGTTCCTGATGGGATGATCTTTTCAGCTGATACCATGGCTGGGTGGTACACGGCTGTTTTTTAAGAGTCCACAGATTTTTAGGTGATTTTTTTGGCATTAAACTTGCAGGTTGACTATCAAATGTATAATATATATATATTATATATATATACTTTCAATCATATGTTGGTAGATTGTTCTTGGGCTTCTTTTTTCTGAACTGCTACCCTAAAATCAACGTTTGCATAGATGTTTTGTAAAGCCATGGCTTATGAAGAACCTGGGGTAACTCCAGGATCGCTCCTGGCTGCAGCATCTTTTGGAGGGCGTCATGACTCGCCGCGGTGAACGGGGCCCGTTTCGGGCGCGGAAGGAATCCTTCGTGGTGGTGGCAGAGCCTTGGCAGAGCTCGTGCAAGGTGCTGCCCCAGCGATTCATCGTGATTCATCGTGAAGTGTTAGGGAGGGAACATAACTCCAATAACTCACTTGGGTTTATATTCTTCTTATATCGAACAAGTTAGTGGTTATAGACCAAGAAACGGATTTCACAGGTTCAAACTGGTGAAGCATCAAATCATCTGGCCAAACAGTTTTGCTATCTTGTATGTTCCAATTTCTGCCTGATTTTGCGGCATTCTTTTAGGCCCCAAAATGGTGGGGCTGAATGCTCTTGGCCTTGCTTGGTTTGCACCTGGCTATACTCCCCAGGATGACATGGTCAGCTAACTTCAAAGATCTTTCCAGGTCAACTGGGTGCAGCATTTTGGTCCAAATGGGTATACCTTTACCCCCTGATATTGTGGCTTGCAATCCTTCCCCTCTAAAATTCCCATTTAGAACCCTTCAGTGTTGGATCTGTTCATTTCGAGAGGTATTTCTTTCCTGATCGGATGGGTTATGGTTTATCTGCGTTGTAAAAAACTTCCAGGATCTTCCAGGTACCCTCTGGTAATTTAACATAGCTATTGAAAATCACCATTTGTAATGGGAAAATCCACTATAAATGGCCATTTTCCATAGCTATATTAGTTTACCAGAGGGTAGTAGCTGCACTGAGGAGCACTTGAAGCTCATCAAAGCCCTCTTTGCCAACGCCAATTCTGAGGGAAATCAGGGCACGGAGCTCTTGTTGTGGTCAGTGCGTGAGATTATGCAAGGAGAACTCGTACTTCAAGGCTGGGCGATTTTAACCCAGGACTAGTCTTAGGAAACTGCCGGTTTCCTTTTCGGGAGGATACCATAGGATACCAATTTTAAGAGTAACAGTATAATATAATATATTATTATAATATATAATATATTATGGTTTTTGGGTAACCCTTTGATTAAACAGCATTTTTTTTTGTGAATCCGGGGTCGACACCAAGAATTAAATCTGGGATTGGATCGTTAACCAGACTCATTGCTAGTGAATCATTGAATGATGGATCCCCAGAGCCTCAGAGTTGGAAGCTCCCCGTTTTTTTTTCGAAGGCTATAGTGGCACCTTCCATTGCTGGTATCAAGGCGGCCTCCGCCGCTTCCTGGGGTGCAGGGAGGTGAGAGAAATGCTATGAACTAAACATGTTGAACTAATATGTTTTATTGTAACATGTTTAGTAACACCATGTAACTATGGTGTATTTATCTAGTTACATGAGGTGTGAACTAGTAGTAATGCTATGGTGCACCCTCATGTAACTATGGTGTATTTGTTTCACTTCAAGTATTGGGATATAGGGCTCCTACGTTCAGGGTCATTTGTTTCACCCAACTATAATGGTTGTAACATATGGGGCTCCTATGTAACTATGGTTATGTAACTTATGGGGCTCCAGTACCAGAGAATTCCACTGACATTATTTTTTGGAGAAAAATCGGCTCAAAAAAAACACGTTACACAAGTACCATTGCTTTCCTTCATTTGCTGAGTATTTCCTGTATTCCCCTATTGTTTTGTAACGCAGTTCGAGAACAGCAGCGGATTTCGATGAAGGCTTTGGCTCAACTGAGCAGTGCTTGTCAATTCCCTTTGGTCAACTGGCGCGGGTTTTATGGGTTATCTGATTGAGGTAAACCCCATCAGAAGCCCGCCAAATTTGGAGGGTTTCTACAACCCAGTTCTGATAAAATTGTGGATCGTTGACTGTTGGATTTACCAGATTACCTCCCATATTTATAGGCTACTTTTTTTCCCAGCTATAAACCTCCCATTTCTAGGGCCACGGGACTTTCCATTTCCACGATTCCACGATGCCATGATCGAGCCTCGACGTTTCGACGTCTCGCGAGGCGCTGGACGAGAGCGGGTGCTGCTGTCGTCCAGCAGCCTTCGGGAGTATTCCACGAGGAGCTACATGAGCCTGGAGGGATTTCGCCAACAAGGATCACAGGAGGTGCGACCAGTCAATGGCGGTGTCAGAATATGACATGACCAGAATGTGAGGCCCCCGTTGGATAGCTAAGTTGGTGCACATAACTCCAATAACTATGGTTTATGGTACGCAAATAACTATAGTTACTGGGGCTTATAAACCAACTTATAACTGGGGGGCCTCACATTGTAAGTTATAGCAATGATGTCTATAACATCAACTAACATCAACTAACATTGAGACATAGGGCCGCAAAAACAGGAGTTGTTGTTCTATAAGCAAGTTATAGCGATGATTTCTTTTATAGGGGCCCTAAAGGGTTCCATTTTTGGGATGATTTTGTGGTGGGATAAAACTGTGGTGCAGCTAAGGGACGCAGCTCCTAACCAGGCAAGTGGCTGCAAGACACCACTGTTGTTGATGATTAGTTGGGAGGAATCTAGTACGCAATATAGGGAATTCTCACAGTCAATGACTAGTACCTGCAGGAAGGGGTCCCCAAAGATTAGCTATATTAGTTAATTTCAGCAGGCTACTTTGATTGGATGTATGGTGAATATTTCGAACTATTTAGATGGGACTTTAAAGTTATAGTTTGGGCCCCCTTGTTGAGCATGCCATTTTATTGTGTTTCATGATTCTTCAAGATGTTGGAAATGGAAAGGAAATGGCAACATTTTCGGTTCCATCTTGGTTTTCTGTGCGCTAGTCTGACTGGCTTGGATGTACTGCACCCTCAGAAGGGATGCACATCAATTGGTCCAGTCAATCTCGCTAGAACGACATGTCCACTAGCCACCAATTTTGATTATGTACCCTCTGGTAATTTAACATTGCTATTGAACATACCCAATTTATAGTTGATTTACCTCTTCAAAATGGTGATTTTCTATAGTCATGTAAACGTTTACCAGAGGCTAATATTTTCACATGTGCCTCACACAAACAGGATGATCTGGTGATCAGCTTGTGAGCCTCATCAAACGATGATTTTTTCTGTCACTGTACCGGGATTCACCGGTAAATTTGCATGGGTTCCATGCTTTTGGTCACTGCTGCTAGGCTATTCGAGAGTTAGAAAGCTTCCTCGAGAAAGTGAGGGATATCCGGGCGAACGATGTGGGGCTGTGTGCTACTGCGGCACAACTTCGTGAGTCTGGTCATCCCAGGTTTCAGAAGGCCACTCGGGCAGTCAAGACCCAGATGTCTTTTTGCTAACATGTCTAGTTGGCTTTGGAAACAATCTGATAGTGGCTTTCTCAATTTTTCCTGGTGCACACGGACCGCTACCCTCTGGTAAACTAACAGTTTGCTATTGAAAATGGCCCAGTCGAAATAGTGGATTTTCCCAGCTATAAAATGGTGGATCTTTCCATAGTTTTTTGTTAACGTTGACCGGAGGCTATCCATTCCAAGATTCAAAAAACAGCAGGATCTTAGGATTCCAACAGCAGGTTGACCACCAGGCCGCCAATTTCCGGTCTCCGTTCCGAGGAACCGCAGACTGGGGCTGAAACAACATTCTCTTACCCGGCCTGGTCAACGTTAACCAAAAAAGAACTGGAAAGATCCACCATTTTTCATGGGAAAATATGGGAAAATCCACTATTTCGACTGGGCCATTTTCAAATTCGCAAACTGTTTGACATAACCAGAGGGTAACCATCATGATTCGGCGATGGAATCCCCAGATGCTAAAGAGACTCCCACTGAACATGCTATGCTGCAATGGAATGAATCCCCACTGCAGTGGATTCCAGTGCTGATGATCAGTAGCATTTTCTGGGATCCGATAATCCCACTGGAATCCGTACTGAGAATGTTCAAATGCTACGGGAATCCTGGATTGCTTTAGGGGGAAATCGACGCCGGAAAGCCCCTCAGGATGTGAGGATTCCAATGTCCAAGGACTTGTCCGTGGAGGCCCGGTGAATGATGGGATTTCTTGCATAAAACCGACGTGGGTTTTTTTGGAGGTTTCCCAAAATGGGGGTAGCCTTTTAAATCATCCAAATCATCCATTTTAGATTGGGATTTTCAGGGATTTTCCATTCTAAATCATCCAGCTATGGGGGTACCCCCCATATATGGAGACCTCCATATATAGCTGGTCTATCCTCATTGCAGGGTGGCTCAACCCCGCTACAAAGAACGCCAGTGATGCGCAGGGGAATTGATGGCCCCTGTGGGGATGGGTTGAAACTTACCCTCTGGTTATGACTAACATAACCATGGTATAGATGGCCCTAATCGAAATAGATGCTTTACCGTTCTTAAACATGGTGGATCTTCCCATGGCAAGCTGTTAGTCATAACCAGAGGGTATCAAAGACCATCTTTTTTTCGGGATGAACATGGCAAGCTGCAGCTTACAGGCACTGACCTTTATTTGTTTATTTGCATTGAAAGTGAAAAGTGAAAAAAGATGAACATCCATAAATCCCAGCGATTTTGAGGAGAAAACCATAAAATACCAGGGTTTCGACTAAGTAGCGTGCGTTTTTCACAGCATTTTTTGAAACCCGAATTTGTGGGTCCATGGTCACCCCATCCCCATAGTTTTGAGCGATATCATCGTGATAGGATGAGCAAAGCACCCAGGGTCAGCTCCTGTGAGGCAAAGGCTCAGCTTGAGTGTCTCAAATCTTGGAGGCTCTGCGGGCAGATAGCCTGCAGCTGATGGCTTTGGGAGGATTTTTCTATGCCAAACTATGGCTTGTGGAGAGCTAAACTGTTAAACTATGAAGCATGTGGACCCCACCTTCCATCAAACATGGTAGAACAACACCATTTTTGTAGATGATGCGCCTATGGAAACTGCTGATTTTCCCCGGTTAGATTAGCATTTTGGGTCCCCCGCTGAAGCCAGGGATGAGATTTTGGCCACCCTGGAAGCCGCTCCGCTGCTGGGTTTGGTGCCACGTGGACAGCTTCATGCGTGGTTGGCTTCGCTTCAGGAGACAGGAATGACTGAAGAGATGGTCCACTTGCTGGAGGAAGGCTTGAGTGTGGCTTGGCGTCGACGCAGTGGTGTGAGATTCAACATGATTCAACAATTTCTAGACGTAAAATTAAGGACATGTGATGGTGAATATGTGGAATTCCAATGATCAACGAGCTGGACCAATTCTCAAGAAGGTTTTGGAAGCTGCTCACTTCAGGAACTCTTGATCGACCTTCCAATGCTTTCAAATCCTCGCGGATTGGAAGAAAACTATGGTCGTGGCTCAAAACTGGTCTCGAAAGCTATGACCAGTGGCATGACCACAATACCTCCACACAGGTGATACTCGAGCCATACGTCCCTGTAGTTCTCATGCCTGACGAAATCTCCAAAGGATCTCAATGACTCACATTCCACCGGGATCTGTAGAGATTTTCCGATTATCAGGAACCGGCCCCAAAGGAAGCTTTGGTTCTCACGTCTCCGTGAACGCAAAGAATCACCTTCGCGAACCCTCCATTTTGTTTGGGTCGTCAGGTCAGTTTCATTCAGTTTCCTTCACATTTTTTTTGGACTGTGCTCGCGTTTTCGTCTTGTGAATTCCCGTACTGGTTGAAGGGAAAGTTTGATACCCCTTGGATTTGTTTTTTGAAAAAGACCATATTTTCAATCCTAGTTTTTTTTTTCTCAGACTAATCCGTTGAGGCGCAGGTCAAATTTTCAAGACACAACCCAAGAACTAACACCCCAAGGTACCAGATCCGCTTCTGTTCAGGCTTGATTTGGGATAAACAAAGCAACCAATCCATTGAAAGCTCAGGATGCTTGGTTTCCCCATGGTAATCCCATAAAACCCCAATATCATCATAATGAGATTATCATCAGTATAGTCATCCCATAGTCATCCCATCATCCATCATGATTCCAATTTTCACCATACATTGCTCAGTTCAATGGGAATTTCAGGATCCTAAAATGGAGGTACTGTACCATATAAGGCTATATTTTGTGGTGATATTCCCTTACATAGGCCTAAAACATAGGCCTTATATATGGAATCGGTACCTCTAATTTAGGTTCCTGAAATGGCCATTGCTCAGTTGAATTTGCGAGGTCTGGGTGGATTTCAACGAGGAGCCCTGGAGCTTCGAAGAACGCGTCTGGCACCACATCGAATTCCACCGGCCGCTGGGCGGCAGCCAAGGCCTGGCGGCCTTGCGGAGCTGCTGCGAGCCGCTGCGCTGTGGAAGTGGCGGCAACGGCGGTGCAGGGCGTGGCGTGGTTGAGAACACACCTGGTGATGCGAAAAAAATGGCTGGAAATCCAAGATTTTAGCCATTGGCAGATGAGGTTGATGTATTTCTGTGCATTTTGTTGATTAAAGATGGAGATTTCTCATTTACAGTCTGGATTTTTTTTACGCACCTGGCAATTCACCCCTGCTTTTTGCAGGAGAATGATCTAGAATGTACATAGATGTTTATAGATACATATAATTACACACATATGGGGTTTTCCATAAATGGTGGTAATGAAAATGTATGGTTTATAATGGAAAGTCCTATTAAAATTGATGATTTAGTGGTACCCCTATTTTAGGAACCCCATCTATAATATATATATATGTACGTATGTACAATCAATCGATAAGTGGTTTTTGATTGCGGGGTAGAATTCTTTCGTCTCACTGAACTTTGGAGTCCTCACAGAATTTGAAGACAGGTCCAAAACTACCATTTTTGAGGGATGAACATCCGCAAGAATTCAAGCGACATATTTTTTGGGTCCACCAGGGTACCATTTGGTTTTGACTCATCCCCTGACACTCCAGGCTTCTTGGTGCAAGTGGACAGCGATGAACGCGTGCTGCAGACGGTTCTGCAACTCTTTTTGGTTCATCCAGCAGGGCCGAAGCGACTGCCGCGACCATCGGAAGTGCTGTTTTGCGATGACAAAGTGCCATTGGCCGAAGTGCAGGCCAGGAGCTCAAAAAGTCTGGTTGGCCAACTGTGCTGGGGTCTGTCATGTTGGATGACCCCGTCTTGGTTTGGTCACGGCTTGGCAGGCATTCCTTTGGAGATCTCAACATTTTCCTCAGCTGCTCTTTGTCTTGGTGGAGCCCAGCCGTTTGCCTTTGGAGGGCAAAAAAGAGGTAGCTGGCCGGCGGTTTCGAGCATTTTCGATGTTTTACCCTTGAGGAGAAGATACAAAACAATAATGTAAGTATATATATATATACACAGTATAATATTTATACATATCGTCACAAACAGTCAGTTTGGAAGATGATCTTGAGCCCTTAGACTCCAACTTTCGGTCCCCACCTCTCATGTTCCATGGGGGTTAGATATCTTTCAGGTGGTCTGCGTTCAGATCGCAGGTTGCCAACTGGCTGGCTGCGGAAGAGCGTAACTCCTCCGTGGGCGTGATTTCGACCGCGTCGTGGTATACGCCTCCCTCTGCTCAGGTCTAGGGCGGGGGTGTTCAGGGATCAGGTACACTGCTTGAAGACTTCAAGGCTTCGATTTTGTTGCAGGACTTCCCACAAATTGGTTGAATGCTTCGCCATTGGCTGTTTTGCTGGTGTTTTATGAGGACTGATTTGTTTGAATCAAAGCAGAAGCCGTCAGACATTTGGCCGTGAAAATGAGAGATGTCTATTTGATTGCTGGATCCATCATTGGGCTTCAAACCCACCATTCCATCTGCTTGGTGAAAACTCGATAGGCCCTGCGGACATCCAACATGATCTATTTTTGTCAGAGCACCACAGGGGTTGACAGATGTCTCATTCTGGGTGATTTATACCTGCAGCTGGTTGATGGATATGACATATGTTGAATGCTTGGGAAGAACGTTCAAAGGGGACATTTCAGCACCTGTAACCAGGTTTTTTTTTGCCATTCCATAGGGATCATTCTGTGCCTCTCTGTTATGTGTGATGTGTCCATGCCGAAAGTGGGCAAAGTCTAGAAATGCAGGCTTTGTCACTCAGATCGTCTGTTTTTTTTTAAAAGAATTTTGAAGGCTGTGAAAAGAAGACCCCTCAATCAGCTAGAGATACTTTATTTGTGGACATTTTGGAGTCTTTTATGTGTAGATGGGGGTTTCTTAAAATGGAGGATCCCCACAACCATAGGTTTCTAGATCAAAATTGTATAATTTTGGATGATTTGGGCCTTGATTTTAGAAACCCTCCAGATCTGAAAGGCTTTGCGGATCGCAAGGATCATCGGCGCCAGGTACATCCTTTGCAGGTGCGCAGCAATCCGCAGATCATGAGCGAATGGAAGAGGCACTTTGATGCGAAGGCCGCCTGGCTTGGGACGCTTGGGACATGGTGAGCTAAACTTTGTACTAGCCATACTAGTCTGTCATTCTTCTTGACATCAAAAGGCCAATTTTCCTTGGGAAAATGATGAAGCATGAATTTTGGGTAACCCCTATCCTGTCCCAGCGGTTGATGAGCAGAACGGGCCCGGGCCCTCTATCAGGGCTGAGGGTCCCAAACTGCCGCTCGGAACTTGCCCCGGCTCAGATGATGAGGGTATAATACCAATGGAGGATACCCTCCAGCAATCAAACATGGCAATGGCACATCCTCTAGAATTGGAATTTGAATGGGAACACTCATCTATTTCCATTGTTTGATTGCTGGAGGGCAATCTATCTATAAATAGCTAAAAAGTATGGGTGACTTGCTAGGTTACCCCGTCCCTGAATATGGGTCAATGGAGGGATGGGGATTCAACTGTTCTTGGGACCCAATCTTGATCCATTGGAGCACCCGAAAAAGGGATCCATTGGACCAGTTTCCGGGTCCATCTTTCCATTTGTCACATACATTCATGGGGAATATGTAACTATTACATACTATTACCTAGTACATTATACAACCACCAAACTTGACAGTAGAACAACATCAAGAAGAAATGGTAAAAAAGGTGAAATGAATTGGTTCGAGGGAAAATTCAGAAGCAATTGTGAAATGAACGTGGAAGACCACAAACACGTGTCGATACATGCCTATAGGACCATCTGAGCGATGAACAGCAAAACATCAGCTACTTGGGGTAGGGTGAAATGACCCAAAATGACCCATACTCAAATGCCAAACTAAAACACATTGAATGATATTAAATGAATGTATTGGGTATTCAGTAAACGTTCCATCTTGTCCTGTCCATTCATTCGATTAACACTGTTATTATACTTGATATACCAGGAAATACATGCAGTTTTCCTGGATTCTCGAGATCTAGTGCTTCTTCTGGGAGATTGGTTGATGGGGATAAAATGATTTCTTGGTTCAAGGATGATCATAAACGGCATGGGGTTCTAAATGTGCATAGTTGTTCAACGATGTGCTGGAATGGGAACATGGCGATCCAATGATCATCTCAATGATATTTTTTGGAGGCATCATCAGCTCCCCAATTATACAATGTGAGGCCCCCCAGTTATAAGTTGGTTTATAAGCCCCAGTAACTTTAGTTATAAGTACCATAAACAATAGTTATTGGAGTTATAAACCAACTTAGCTATCTTGGGGGCCTCACATTGTAGCAATATCATCACACAGAATCCCGATAGAGGAGAGCAGTGGTGTGCTGATGCTGATCCGCAGGTCTTCAGTTATACCACGGAACCTTCCTCGGGCAAGAGCAGCTACATCCGCCGGGCCTGCGAGGGATGCGAGACAGTGAGGTGCTGCCCGAGTGCGTTGAAGGACAGTGCCATCAACAGATTTCCGCTATGTTCGTTGATCAAAATGATAGTGTAAGCATCCACAATCATGATATCAGTGAATGTAAACATGTAGTTCTGGCCCCCCAATTAAAAAATTACCCCTATTGGTTCTAGATTGCTTTCTAAACTAAACACCTACTGTATCTGGGTTTGTTTGAAAATAGGACACCCCGAACTTCGGTATTTAGTCATCATTTCTCGTGCTATCTGATGGTACCCATGTCTTGAATGCACCCAACTATGAATCATTCATATCAAAGCTGGTTACCCTCTGGCTATTTAACATAGCCATGGATAATGGCCCATTTATAGATGATTTTCCCAGCTATACACCTCCATTTATAAGGGATTTTCCATGGCTATGTTAAATAATCAGATGGTATATATCCCATTCTATCCAGATTTTTTTTGGTTTTGGCATATTGTGGGGATTTCTTAAAATGGGGGATCCCCAAAACCACAGCTTCAATGCTTAAATGGTCTCATTTGGATGATTTGGCGGAACCCCCATTTCAATGCTTACATGGGTTGAAAACATTGGTCCTCGGACAGGTGCTTGTTGCATGAAGGTTTTGACCTGGCAGATCTTGTCCTCCAGTCTCGCAAGCAGATTGCTGAACGGGAGGAACGCAATCTGGCCATACATTTGGAGGCGGGGTGATGCTAGAAGTGTCGACAAGGAGCCAGTCTTGAAACTTTTGTGACTGGAAGAAAACGGGAAAAACCATGGTTAATTTGCGATACAGGGTTTTGACCCATCACCACATGTGTATTTTTTCTTCCTGTTCAAACCCTCTTGGTTAGAGTCTAGTGTAGACGCTCAACAGCACCAGGTGGTCATCTCAAGATTGCTACTCCCCAAATAGGCTCAGTTGGGATGTGTGACTCTGAGGTCTAACAAGAAGCGCCCAACTTCAATAGTGGTCGAACCGCTCTTTTTCACATTCCAAACGCCGAAAATCTGCAGGTCAATGCCTATAGCGACCCTGTGTTGACCAACACCTTCTTGAGACATGTGTTTCTCTGCCAAGTCCTCTACGATCCGCTGTCTGGACAGATGGTTCCCATTCCCTCTGGCACCGAGATCCACGTGGAGATAGGTGCAGTGGTTGGCAAGAGAGACCTTCACAGCATGAGGATTGGGTGCTCTGAAAAATCACTTGGGTTTGTTTGAAAATTGGGTACCTCAGGTACCCCTCAAATTTGATCCTTCAGCATACTTCAGCATCATTTTCCCCATTATTTGATGGCCATAAATTGGGATACTCCATTTCCAGACATATCTATCTGGGTAAAGTTGATCACGACCTCACTGTTCTCCCTCACTGGAAATCATAGTTAGTAAGGGAAATCATCCCCAAATGGCCGAACTATTCAGGTTAGTGAAATATTATAATTTACCCAGAATCTATTGTCTATTGATGACTTTTTTCTTTCCCAGCCGTTCATTGAATGATGCGCATTTCGGCAGGAGATATGCCACGGAGGAGCTCATGCGGTCCCTCTTTCCCAACGCTTCGGAGCTGAAGCTGTCGTTGTTGTATCCCGTGCTGAAGCTGGCGGCTGTGGACCGATCGCAGCAGGCGAGCGATGTCCAAAATCCAGCAATTGATATGCCTATGCTGGCGAAATGTGGGGAGAATGAAACCAACAAAGATTACCGGGTATTAATTTGTATCACTAGCCCTCAAACATGAGGATACAGATGCGAGATGGATGGATGATGATTTGTTGATTCTGATTTTTGGGCGTCATACTCCAAAAAATGTTCGACAAATGGGGATCGCACATCAGGTGAGAGAATCTGAGCTGCTAGACAGTGAGGAGCATTATTCCTTGAGCCTTGGGAGGGCCGCAGGTCAAGTCCACTTAGATGTGGCCTGCGACATGTGCAATGCGTGTCCGATCCGCGGGCCTTGCTACAGATGTGTCGATTGCCCTGATTTTGACTTGTGTGCCAGGCAGGGAGTAACTTGCTGCAATTAAGTAACTACCAAAATAGCATCCCATCATTGGAGCACATCTGGTGTTGGAGATTGTGTTGGAGATGATTTGGTGCTTTCCTGATAGTTGGAATTGCAGGACCCACCCCAAGAATACCCCAAAAACTTCGCATGACAAACTGGAAATGATGGAATTCGAATTACGACCTTGTCCAAGCAGCTCCCCAGCCGACAATGTAGGTGCCGTCCCCTTGCTGTGGAGCAGCACGATCCCACGCATGTGTTTCAGTTGCGGCGACGCATAGCCCTACCATTCCGGGTGCTCAATGCCTTTTTGCAGCGCTTGGAACCGTTTGAGGTGGGGATTCTGAAACGAGCAACTGACGATACCAGCAGCTCTACGCATTAGTGGGGGGATGGACATCCATTTTTCCCATTGTCATCCAATGTTATGTATTACCCTCTGGTTATTTAACATAGCCATGGAAAATCACCATTTTTAATGGGTAAACCATCTATAAATGGGCCATCTATACCATGGTCATGTTAAATAACCAGAGGGTATATTTTCATATTTTGCCCAAAAAATGTATGGATGGCAAGAATCTTAGCCCTCACAGCCTGCACAGCTTGTTTATTTTTTTTGATCAAACCGGGTTCGGAATCCCTGTGCCCTGACCAAAGCGATTTGATATCAGGATTCCCAAAGATTCCAAGCCATCAACTGAAAGCACCAAAGATTGCCAACGTGGCCTCCCCCAGTTATCAGTTGGTTTATAAACTTTATAAACCCATCCAGCTATAGATATCTACCATAAACCCTAGTTATACTAGTCCTGAACCAACTTCGTGATTCCTTACATGGTGGCACCGTGTTGTGTGGCTTTTCCACCAAGCCACCGCGATGCCCTGTGAAGGTTCACCGGTGTCTGCTGGACATCAGGGAGGATGACTTGGAAACTCTTCACCTCCTCGAGCAGGAAGGTACTCTTCATCTGCCCCCAGCACTTCAACCCTTCCTGCGGGCCTATGCAGCGCACGTGGCGCGTCGACTGCCTGGCGCAGTGCACGATAGCTTCAATCTCCAAGTGGAACACTTCGCCAGTCCAGACAGTTCGTTGTCGGAGAACGGTTTCTTTTTCTTTAAATGTGCAGCTACGCAAAATGTATTTGCCATTAAAACATGCGAACATGTTTCAGACACCATTTTTTTCCTCCATCCAAATGAGTTCAGCAGATTTTTTCTTGAAAACAGTTCGGTTCACCACTTCAGGTTCTTTGGCCGTCTTGCTTGCGTTTGCCCTCGATCGCTGCCAGCTGCCAGTTGAGCTGGCAAGTTCAAGAGCACATCAGAATTTGATGGTGCGACGTGTTGGAATTTTGGCCGACTGGATGGCCAAATCACATACCTTCACTGATGCAAGCGGCGGTGCGGCCAAGCGCTTGGGTTCCCTCCTCATGGAATGCATTGTGGTGGGCCTGCAGAAGCTCGTTCAGGGTGAAGAGGTATGTCTACATCTGGTGGTGCCCTATGCCCGAAAAACTGAACAGGAGGACTTCTTGATCTTTGTGCCCAGTCTTTTTGGAGATGAAGTGGCAGACAGTAGCTGCAGCCACGGTGCAGGATGTGCATGCAATCAGCTGCGCCATGAGTTGCTGGAAAGTTTGCAGAACAGAGTCTGGATGGATTATAGCCAGACACATCTTTTTCTATTTTTTGGGTCAGAATAGGGTTCGGGTATTTTCTTTGACCCGTAAGATTTCAGAAAAACCATCCATCTCATAGACAGGTGCACTTTTTTGTGCACTCGTGCTCCACCAAGCTCCCACAAAGGAGTCTTGATCCCAGATCTCTACTCCGTGGATCCCTTGGCTACGGCGGTGCATGATGAAATCCAAGGGATTGATGCGCTGTCCTGCGCCTTTGGACTGCGCCCGGAGAAAGTTGAAACCATCCTCGCCGAGGAGTCCGGTGGAGTCCGGTGGAGTCATGGCGTCACTGGAAATCCCTGATGGCTGTGGCGGTTTTCATATGGTTTTCATGGGAAAATCAGCAATTGGACATCCCCTATAAATGGAGGTTTTAATGGGAAACTCATGGAATAATCAATGAACATCATCATACTAAATCGAGGATTTTCCATAAATGTCCAACATACCTATGGCAAGGCAAATTCATGAATGTGGCTTCTGTTATTCCATTTCCCTTGTAGATAACTCTTGTGCTGCTAGGTGCCGATCATTGCACCCTGCATGTGCTTTTGTAGCTGGCAACCTACCCACATTTCCCCTCACCACAACTGGTTGGAAGTCTCAGATTACTCCCGTATTATCATGTATTATCCAGATAGATTTCCAATCTATCAAATGGTGTCTCAGTAGTATCATAGTATCAATCATCTTTGGGTGGTATTTCAGTGTTTTTTTCTTTTTCATTGGTCTCTATCTGGGATTAGAATCTCCAATGACTGAGATTCAATTGACAGGCACGAGGATCATCCCACGTACGGTCACTGGTTTTCATAAGCATGGTTTTCATAAGTCCCCGATTCCTGGCTTAGCCCATTTTTCTCAATGGGTGAACTAACCAAACACTGACCAGTTATCTGGGTAAATTATAATAATTCACAAACCTGAATAGTTCGGCCATTTGGGGATGTTTCCCTTATTAATCATGATTATAGTGAGGGAGAACAGTGAGGTCGTTATAATTTACCCAGAGTTATACCTCATGGGGTGAAGCTCTAAACAACCATCAGGCCTTGAAATGGAAGTCGCAGGAGGGATACATCCTGACGCGTGACTTCACGTCCAAAATTCTGGAGCTGTTGGCCCGCAGAAAGTCACGGGTGCCCACCATTCTGGTTGGAGAAAGTGGCACGGGAAAGACTCCTGGCGCCTTCGCGACCAGATGTGTAGGGTTTTTGAGATTATCTAAGTCATGTTTAAGCGATATTAATTATTAATGTAATAATTAAGTGGAGTAATTAATGTTGATAATGTTCAAGTATTAGTATTTAGTTAAGCATATATTCATCATGATTATGTTTCTTTGATGGAGGTTCACAAAGACGACAGGACTGAGATCCCTGGACTGACCCTTTTTTATTGATGTTTGGTTGGCGCGACATGATGGATGGTGACAAGTGTCACAAGTGCCGCTGGGGCACCAACAAAATCACCCAAAAATCCCTAGCATTTTAAGGATACTAGTGCTTCTATTTTATCAACCGCTTCCTCTTGAAACTGGCACCATACGAATATGGGTTTCTCATGGGAGTGGTATGGGCCACCATTCGTTTCTCGGGGTCACGTCGTTTCGTTGTTTTGGGATGAGTGGTCCAAACGCTACCACCCTTGTTGCAATATTCTGAAGATGCGCTTTTAGATCTTGGAATGATGTTGATCAAGCTGATTTAAGGAAGCCTTTCGGAAGTTAAGGATCCCGACCTGCAGCAGTTCCTGACATCACTGATGTGAAAATTCCCAATGGACAGCATCATGACCAGGGCTTGTGAAGCATGAACAAAAGGCTTGAAAGACATCCGTCCTGCAAGGCTGCCGACAAAAAAGTAACTACCAGAGCTTACCGTATACCCTCCAGTAATCAAACATGGCAACTGGAAATCCCCTATCAACCGAGGGTTTAATGGGACAATCGTGGAACATCAATGAACATCATCGCACTAAATCAAGGATTTTCCATTGCCATGTTTGACACTCGCAATCACCCAGCATATCAGCATATCTGTTTGGCTGGACTTGCTTTTTGTTTGAGGACCCGAGCGCTAGAACTGATGATGCGATTGCTGGTTGAGAGCGAGGAAGTTCGACCATCATTGGTTCAGTCCTTGTTCGACTACATGAAGCAGAAACTGCGCGATGCCAAGGACGCAGACATGGTCCCATAAACAGCTTGGGGTCAGCTCGGATTCACGACATACTCTGAGGATAATTCGCAGGGGCAATGAGAACAAACAAAAGGACAATAAACATCTGGTTGGTGGTTTGAAACATTTGGATTATTTTCCGTTTCATATATGGGATAACTGGATAACCCTTCCCATTGACGAACTCATATTTTTCAAGATGGTTGAAACCACCAACCAGACATGTTTTCCGTATTTTTGTCAGGATCCCGAGCGAAAGGATTTCATAGAGGGAACCCCCCCCAATGGCCCAATGGTTGGTGTTTTTTGGGCCAATCTTGACCACCAACAACCACCGATAGTGAGGGCTTATAGGCTTATACATGCTGAAAAACAGCACCTATCATTGGGAGGCTCACCAACCAGGTTGAAGTTGAATTCCCAATCTACAGAGTTGCAGAAAGTCTCTCGTTTGAGACATGGTACACTGCAAGACTCAGCATTGCAGGCCAGACTTCAAGCAGCCCTCTTTAAGACATTCTTCACGTGCTTGTGGTGTATGCACCACCTGTAGCATGCCATGATACATATGCTGTATTGAAAACAGGTCTTCGCAAACTCGCATTTCTCCAGATTTTGAAGGTGTTGTTTGGCACTCAACTTGTTTTGTGATGTTTTCGGATGATTTATAGTAATCCCCAAACAGACAGGCAAGTTATTTATCACTCTCTTACTCGGATCTTGCTTTTCTATCTTTTTTTGGGTTACTACATTGCTAGTTGACTTATTATCCGTAAAGATCTGCTGACACATCTTCGCATTTCCAGGATGCCACACCGGGAGACCCATTTCTTTTGCAGGTGCGTGTTTTTTTTCTGCTGGGAGGGCCTGAGAGCAGAAAAAATCTCTATTGGAGACAAGGTGAGGCCCTCACAGTTATGTTAGTTGCTAAACCCATCAATGAGTTCGTTATACTCCCCTCAACCCAACAGTTAACCAAGGTAAGTGTGCGGCAACTTAGCTATCGTAAACGGGGGACTCACCTTTTGCCAACCAAGCAGTAGATTTGGGACAGAGGGTGCAGTGGTCAGTTTAGGACTTGGTAAATGTTGTTTGATATGATCATTTGGGTACCCTAGGATAAGCGTTTACATAGATGCGGAACACATTGGAACACACAATGGTTTTTCCTACAAATGGTTGATTTTCCACATCTATATTAGTTTACATCAGAGCCTCACCTGTCCTAGGTATAGTTGATTTTCGGCAGGCATCATTGTGAAGATGGCTCCATCTTCAAATGAACAGTGTTCAAAACCCCGGTTGGTTGATGATCGCACGGGGTTTACTATCCAATAGATTGGGGATTATCTTGATCCATTTTGGTAAAGCCTATTACGAAGCCGTATCATTGAACAACATTTCGGGTTGTAACACTCAGCGGTTATCAAAATTGATAATGATGATGGCCGTTCTTTTAGCAATCTATCCAGTCTCAGGTGGCAATCTATCCAGTCTCAGATAGTGTATGCAATCATTTTCCCAGGGAGGCTTCTTCCAGTGGAGAATATCCCAGTGGAGAAGACTTCGTTGGACCATGTTAGTGGAGCGCATGGCCGTGGTTTGCTTGGTCTCCCCTGAACAGTTGGGTGAACACGGCAACAAGCTGCCAGCGACTGCTCACCCCGATATTCGCAGAGTTTGCCTCTGTCCCAGTTTCGCTCTATCCAGTTTCTCACACGAGGTATATGTGTATATATATAATTGTGTATATATATATACTGTATATAATATACATATATATATATACTATACACATACACATACATACACATATATATATATATAATATGTATATGTACTATTCTTTCTAAACGAGTGCGCAAGTGTTGTTGGCAATATCCATATTCTTGTGGTTGATATTTACATTTTTGGAGGCTTTGGGGAGCCCAAACCGTTTCGAGCATCGCCCCTGTGTTCATCAAATGTTCCTGGTCAGGTCACTGAGACCCTTGACAAACTGTTGCTGCACAAGTCACTGAACGTGGATGCCTTTCAGGACAGGCAAAACGACCCAGGAGTGGCCTTAAGTGGCCTTGGGTCCCTGGCAGGCCTTTTTGAGATCGAATCTGAAGTTGCAAATAGGTGTGCAGACGGGGGGTTTGACATGCCACTTTCCAAACAGGGGCGGCCTAGAGAAAAAGGCTTACTGTAGTTACCTGGCATTTGGGAGCTACCAAAGGATATGGCCATGTCTTTCCTCGCTGTTGAAGGGGAAAAAATCATCTACACCGGGGAAGATTCTCTGGTAGATTGCCATGTCGGTTTGCTCCAATAAGGAGGGGCTTGTAGAGTCTTTTCCCTGCCTCAGCTCTCAATGCATGGAAATCTAGCTGAGCCCTGAAGACTGTCCGAGAGTGCCGCTTCTTGCGAGGAGACATTGATGAATCCTACTCTTTATGAAGTGGGGCAACTGCAGGTCTTTCGGTGTGCATCGCCAAAAGTCACTGGATGTTCGATTTTTTGAGTGTTGTGTGAGGTCATTCATGGTGGGACTGGGAAACAACTAAAAGAATGATGTGACTATAGCTCAGTTCCGTGTGAGGATTGCATATGTTTTGCCTATGTTGGAACCAAGCTGTCAGACAGGGCTGCACTGTAGTCACACATTATCCTTGGAAGCGCGCTTAGGCAATCCATTTTGAGCCTGCGTTCCCAGGTCAAGTCCACAACCATTTCTGACCACTGGCCATCCAAGATACATAACCATCAGGCCATAATAAGATGAACATTTCAACTGACTCGAAAAACATCTTCATTTGATTCCTGGCACTTAAAAATTTTGAACTTCTGCAGAACATCCAGTGGAATCCAGGGAAACTCCCCAGAGATTGTGCTGCACCTTAGGAGCGGCTCTTCACCAGAAGAGAACTGATGGATTGGATTTTGGCCGAGCTTCATGGCTCGGGCCGTTTCGATGTGGGCCGGTCCCTTGGAAACTGTAGAAAGCGTCGGCCAGTCGTGCGTTGGGCACTCTGTGTCACCATGCTGATTCCTCTATGAATTCTTGAATTCTTGTCTATACATACCTGTTTTTGAGTATAAAACCATATAAAACCATCAAACATGCAGAACTATGCAGAATTGGGAAAGATCAGCATTGAATCATTGAACCTTTCAGATCTTTCAAAAAACCCAGCTTTGTTATGTCTGTCCCTGGGGATCGGTCGTGCAGGTTCCATGTGTTGCTTCGCCACCTTCCAGTGGACGCAGGCGAGGATGAAGGAATGGACCCAAGCTTAATCCACGGGTTTTCGCATTGGATGATTTTTCGAGATGCATCGTTAGTGAGATAGTTTTTGGATGATTTTCATGGATATTTGGATGATTTTAAGGATGATTTTGGTCGTTAGTCTAGTGTGATTTTCCCAGTTCTGGGGAGATGAAGAAATGAAGAAGTGCTGTGCGATATCAGGCGGCTTTCAAGGTTGTTTTCTGGGGAGATTTATCTGGATATGACCCGTATATCAAGAGAAACTTTAATGAGATGGCAAAAGTGTCATACCCTCCATCTTCTGTTGAATGGGGCCGGGTCACATTCTGATTTGCTTTGATTACAAGTTGATGTGGGATTTGCATCAGCTTGCCATTTCCCAAGTTGAAGATGTTTGTTCTCGCTGTTGCAGAAAGACTGTACCGGTCCGCTGCACTTTAGAAGACTTGATTCGGAATCGCTTGGAAAAGAAACTTCAGACCTTAGAAGTGCCCATGCCATGGCAATATACTTAGACTTCATCTTGTGACGCCCAAGGACTCAACCCATCTCCCAAATAGTCCAAATATCAGACATCCCAATGGTGGGTCCACGAATTTTCGAGTCGAGTCGCGAGTTTCTATTCTTCAACAATTCCCCTGGATGATTTTTTGATGAATCAATCAAATGACTCACCCTCTGGTTATGTCAAACAGTTTTCTATTGAACATGACCCAGTCGAAATAGTGGATTTTCTCATTGAAAATGGTGATTTTCTATAGTTTTTTGTTAACGTTTATCAAAGGGTAAATCCCATTAAACCACCATTTTGTTGGTTAAACCCCATTAAACCACCATTAAACCACCATTTTCCTATGGTTTATCAAATGACTCAATTTCTTTCAGGCGCCCATGGCTTTGCCAAAAATCTCCACGGTTTTGACCCTCCCCTAAAAGGACACGATGCTGCTGCCACGCGGAGGGCCGTGGAACGTTCCCGTTCGGAGTGGGAGAAGCTGGGCTGAAGTTTGAGCTGACCTTTTTTTATAGACCAAAAGTGGTTTGATCCTGCAATTCTGTGGGTGCACTTTCAGTCATTTTTTGTTGGTCGAGTCATAGTTGGAGTGGTAAGATTTTCACCATGGTGAAAAACCCATGAAACCGGATGGGGTGGTTGCCACATGCAACTGGACTTTCAGTTTTTTGGGGATGGGTTTACCACATATCCTACAGATTCCTATAGCATATAAGGGCAGCCAAAAAAGACCAAGTCTTGTAGTTCAAAATGATATACTGCTGCACATCTTTGAGAGAAGTGCTCTCTTAGCAATCCTAGTATCCTAGAATCCTAGATTACTCGTAGCATTCAGGGCGAGGCAATCCATTGATTCTGACACCAATTGGAAGACCTCAGAACACCGAGCAAAAACGAACACCCAACGGTCACAGTGTTGGCAACTATTACTGAGGAGACTCAGTGAGGCGGAGAAAGACCTGGAACGCGAAAAGAACAGCTACCAGGTAATCTCTGAGAAAGTAGATCAAGCAACTCAGATGAGACGAGGAATATTTTTGTTTTCTTTAGGAGTTGCTTGATCCGGGTGGCTGGAGATTGTCGGAAAGGGTGTGCTGGCAGTAGTGAATTTCCAAGTGGTGTTTGGAGCCCCTCAAGTTTATCGATCTGAGATATCGATCTGAGATAAAGAGCTCTACCGCAAAAATCTCACTACAACATGTGGTTGACTGGGGAACTCATCCCAAACATTTTTTAATGCCATGGGCTTTGTGA